CCAATTGTTAAGGCCCCTAGATTACCCACGACCTCGGCTCGTAAACACCCAGAAGAACCTTGCAACAGCGGGGTAAGAGCCTGTGGCAATTTCCGACATCTCCCAAAGCCTCATGTGTTTGGACTTTAGGGTTTAGGGTTGAGGGTTTCCAATGAGTAACCTTTCAGAGCTTAAGCAAGCCAACACAGATATATGTATAAAATGAACAAGAGATACATTGTGAATCTTACCATATCTAACACCTGTTGTGACGTGTAACTGTTGGATGTGGCCGTAGTTCAGGCTTCCGTTTGTTCAACATACCGGCTTGATGCGGGCCATCAGTCAGACGCCTGTTCGCGAACTAACTGTGTTCTTTCATCCCTAAACCCTAAACCCGCGATGTTGGGGTGTGGGGGTGGGTGGCAGGTGGTGCGCTTCTACACTGAGCCGGGGCAAGACGGAAAGAGCGAAGTGGCCGAGCCTGGTCGCTCTTCTCCAGAAAGCTCTATACCCACAGGCCCCATAGTANNCTTTTTGGGATTACCTCATAGGATTCGAAATATAAGCCACAAAAAGAAACTACTATGGGCCTATGGGTATAAGCAAAGCTTTGAGAGTTCATGGGCTGAGGAGTCTTTGTTTTGGGTAGCTGGGGGTGGCCTATTGGGGCCTTAATAATTAGAATTACAATAGGGGTTTTAGGGCTCCTTCTTAAGATTATAGTATAATACACACCCAAACCCTATTCTAATTATCAAGGCCCCTACATTAGGTTAGAGATATAGCTGTTCGAAGCTCTTGGAATAGCGGTTGCAAGGGCTGTGAGCCACAAGACCTGAAGCCGTTCAACGATCATGGGCACCTGGGACACCACGAAGAGGCAGATACACTGCAGCTTCGTTTCTGTATGCCCTGTAAACCACCAGCCCAAACCCTGATTCCTAAATCCCTAACCCTAAACTCCAAACCCCAAACCCCAAACCCTAAAACCCAAACCTCAACCCGAAACCGTAAACGCACAAATCCGTCTAAACCTTGACTCTTTGAAAAATTGCAAGGCAAAGGGTTTCAAGGAGCTTCCTTTGCAGGAGTCCTCTTTAAAGAATCGAATCCCAGCAGTCTTGTTTCGGGGTTTGATACGGTTCTACCCTAAAGCGTAAACCCTAATACCCTAAACCCTATGAACCCCTAAACCCTAAACCCTATTACAAGGATCCGAGAAGGCCTCTTGAGCTGAGGCTCCTAGAAGCTTGAGGAGTTGAGGATTTAGGATTTCACATTCCCCAGCGGTGCCCTTGTTGCTTTGTGTTTCTTAGGCGGGGTCTCCCTATGAAGCATGCTGCCCTCGCTATAAAGGGGACACTTGCAAAGTTGAAGTTGCAGTCTTGTGATTCGGTGGGAGTAGGTCTGAGCAGGTTTGGGGTTTAGGGTTTAAGGGTTTAGGGTTTAAGGGTTTAGGGTTTAGGGTTTAGGGTTTAGGGTTTAGGTTTATACAGGGCTTTGGGCCCTTTAGGGTCTAGGAATTAGCGTGGTTTTTGGATTGAAGATGTCTATATAAACCCTGAACCCTTAACCCATATCAACCCTAAACCCTAAACCCCAAAACCCTGAACCCTTAACCCACATTGGGCTCGGGAGAAGGGGTTTTGGGTTTGGGGCTTTGCGACTACAGCGCTTGAAGGATGTAGCGAAGATCGACTTGACAGTCTCATCAACTGCGAGGGATACTATGACAATCTCTGTTGACCCAGTTTCAGGTTTAGGGTTTAGGAGTTCAGGAGTTTAGGAGTTTAGGAGTTTAGGGTTTTGGATTTAAGGTTTAGGGTTTAGGGTTTCGGGTTTAGGGGTTTAGGAATTTTGGGGTTTTGGATTTAAGGTTTAGGGGTTAAGGTTTTGCCAATACTATCTGGTTTTCCAGAGCTGACTAAACACAGAAATTGGCGACGGTAAATATTGCTGAGGCTGGCATGGACCCAACTCATTTGTGCTATCGGATCCGTTCTAAACACAAAACACCCCTTAGACAAGCAACTATGATATCAGGCGGCTCAAAGGAATATCATGATCTTTCCTCCAGGCCCGTACAATAGACCATAAGAGGAAGCACTGCCCAAAATTGCCGGGGCACTCTCTTCGGTCAGCGCGGCCTCACAGCGCTGGATGCACTCTTTCAGGAGCGGGACGATGCCTGGTTTAGGTGGAGGGTGGGGGTCTGGGGTGTAACTCTAGGTTTGCCAATTGCAAGATCTTGCCAAGTCGTGGTACCCACATCTTTTTATGCCGTTGGGAGGGATGTAGTGTTGTGACTTTAGCTGTTGGTCGAATATTTTGAAGGAATATTTATCTTATGATGTCGATTTGGTTTCTATACGGCTGGCCATTTATGAAACTGGGAAGTGGCTCCTGGCAGACTATGATTCCGTTATGGTTTCACTATGGTTTCACTATGATTTCGCTGTGATTTCCGTTGTATTATACTGTAATATATTCTATCATAATATATTATACTATATTATACATATTGATATATTATAATCTATCTAATACTGATACTAGTCATGATAATACTAATAATCGTAATAATACTGAAGTTATCTGGAAACCCATAAGATGGTCATACAATTTTCATAAAATGTCCAAATGTTTCCTCTACATTTTTCATAGTGCCGAGTATATTTGCTTCATAGTAAAATCATAGTAGATTCATAGTTTAAAGTATATCATAAATTTTTCATTAATGCAAATCATATCCGAATCATAAATAGATCATAAAAACACGTAGTTAACATGATGGATTGTTAAACCACTTCTGAAGTCACACATGTAGTGTTGAGACCATGGGCTTCGGCACTGGGCTTCGGAAGCAGCAGGTGGGCCGGTAAACATCGTGAGGCTCAGGTTTCTTGTCTGAGGCAAGTCTCTGAACAAGCACGAAAGCTTTCTCCGCAGGCTACATTCTAAACTGTAATAGTAATTTCGGGTTCCAGACGATCAACATCCATGCAGGAGGCCCAAACTCCCCGTCTGAAACGCAGAACGAACGTTCCCTCGAATTGTTTGGGGCTCGACAGGGTCATGAGGGAAGCTTGCTGGTCAGTCGAGACGCCATACTTGTCGGCGAAAGCCGCCACCTCCACCAGAAGCTCGTCTTCGGCATCGCACTCACCTGCAAAGGCTCGGAGAGTCTCGGACTCCAAGCTCTAGGATTCCGGGGCTTAGGGTTCCTTGACCTCGTCCAGGTCTGAGTCTTTAACGTCTGCGCCGGAACTTGATGTATGAAACCCCTTGGTCCGCGACTGTCATGTCTTTTGCGAAGGATCCTGAAGCTGTTGGTGATGCAGTGACTGCACCGTCCTAGGTTCCTAATATTTTCTAGTCATGATCGTGGGTTTATGGTGCTTGGAGCTATCGCGAACAATCGAAAACCGGACTGAGCCGTAAGCGTGCTTCATGGAAGTCGCGTGTCCCCGCAGTCTCAAAACGGCATGTCCCAACCTTGGCAGCTACAGCTTACATATCAGGATCATAAAGCGACCACGCTTTCATGAAAGAAGCACAAAACAAAACCTTGATCCAAACAAACAAAACCTGAAAAAACCTGGTCCAACCCTGAACCCATGAGGCCCACCTGTGTAAATAAACTGCAATGCAAGGTCGACGGCTGACGCCGAGAAGTCTTTCACAGTCAGCCTGACACAGATGTTGACATCTTGAACTGGGTCAGCGAGGACATGTGTATGCGTTCATACAAGCAGGAACGGCTGCACCGCATGGCTGGATGGATTTTTTGTCTGCATGTAAGTATGCATGCATGCTCGTGCGTATGTACTTAGGTATGTCGGTATGTATGCATGTATACATGTATGGATGCACGGATGTATTGAGGTATGACGGTATATGCATAACTACTATGTATATAGGGAAGAATGTACAGGCGGCTCCGGGCGTGCATGTTTGTGGCTCCGCCTCCGCCACAGGAGTGGAACAAAAACAAAGGAGGAGGAGTCGTTGGTTTTCGCACATGGAGCCTTGCATGGCGGTGCGAGCAGATGGTGCCTCGTGAGCACGGGAGCGGCGAAGGCAGGGATTGATACTGTGATCACGTTTCATGCCTGTAACATCCGCGCATTGATTGGGAAACCTCTGTATACATATATATATATATACATATATACACATATGTGTATATCTAGTTGCTATATATATATATATATATATTTATATATATATTATATACATATATATATATATATACATATAGGTATATATATATATATAGACTGTCATCCTAAGACTGATGTGCCGGCACCATGGGGCAATGCTGCCAACGTGTTAACGTATTGCAGTTGCCACGTAATCACTCGCTTCAACCGTCATACCAAATCCGAAAACTCAAAACCAGCCCCGCGATCCTAAATCGTGAACATGTCGTCATCCCGATCCGTGTAATAGCCACAAGCAGCTTGAACAAGCTATCCCTATTTTTGAGACACCCCTATAGAAACTCTGCTCCCCCGACAAAATGGAACCCTCAAAGGAACCCTGTAGGAGCC